GAGCCTGTGTGGGTGGGCAGGGCTACCCGCAATTTTCACTACAGTTCAGGTGAACTGGTCTGAACTGGTAGAATATCACCTCTGTTTCTGATCCCTTACACCAGGGATCCAAAACTCGGGGACCACGGACAGGTGCTGGGTTGTGGTCCATTCAGAATCAGGCTACAGAAGGGTTGGGTGAAGAACAGGGGTGGGTTTCAACCGGTTCGCGGCAGTCCCTGCGAACCGGTTGGTCGCCGAACCCGGAAGTAAGTAACTTCCGGGAACGGCGAAGGGCCCGCCCGCCCGCCCGCGGTCCTTACCCAGTTTTGACGAGTTCTGCGCTTGGTTGGAACAGGGCGAGAAACCCACCCCTGGGTGTAAGGCTTCATGAGATCCTAGGGCAGGGGTCAGCAACCTTAAACACTCAAAGAGCCATTTGGACCCATTTCCCACATAAAAGAAAACACAGAGAGCCACAAAACCCTTGACTATTTCCTGAGTGGCCACAGTACCAGCATATGTAGTTGAATTAAATGTTCTGTTTTCTTCAGAAACTTTTCTTGGATTTATCCTACCGGGGGGTCAAAAAGCTGAATAAATTATGTGCCGGCAGGTATCACACATTGGCGGTTGTGACACATAGTTTGAGCAACAGGGAGCCGCAGCAGAGGGATGAAAAACCCACATGCAGCTCCAGAGCCATGGGTTGCTGACCCCTGTCCTAGGGACTTTCTGGAGAAGATAGGCAAGACTCCATGAATGGAAAATCTAGTGAACGTAGTTGTCTGCTGCCAGACTCACAGTTTTGCAGGATCAGGGCCAAAGCCTGGTTTTGGTTTTATTTTCCTTCTTTGCACATTTTAATAGTGTTTGCAACATATCACAACTGACCTTAGAAACTGTTTTGCCAACAGAGTCATAAAATCTACCGATTGAGATTTCTAACTGGCCCTTACGGTATTTGTTTTCCTGAAACAATAATATCATATTCCCGGGAAAACCTATAAGGACTGAATATGTTTTCCCCCCAAATAATTGTGCAAAATAATTGCATTTTACAAAGCAAGCACATTAAAAACAACACAAACTAACCACAAAAAGAAATGATAAAGAGTAAAAAGAAAATAGGAATAAAAGTGTGGAAATGTAAATAAAGAAAAAGAAAGAAAAATACAAACATATGCAAAGAATGACTTTTGACTTCTTTCAAGCATATATTTTGTTCTTAGTTGCAAAGTCGTGTCCGACCCATTGTGACCCCATGGACAATGTCCCTCCAAGCCTTCCTGTCCTCTACCATCCTCTGGAGTCCATTTAAGCTCACGCCAACTGCTTCAGTGATTCCATCCAGCCATCTCATTCTTTGTCATCCCCTTCTTCTTTTGCCCTCAATCTTTCCCAACATTAGGCTCTTCTCCAGTGAATTGTTCCTGAATTCTTACTATCAACTCTTAGTTTAAGACTAGAAATAAAATGTCCCATTAACACCCCCTCCTCCAAATGTTTTTAAAGCAAGATATTCATCCTCATTTAAAACACAGGGAATAAGAATAGAGAACATTATTCATGAACTTAATATAGATAAAATGAACTACATGTTACAAATTTAATTTCTGAGAGATAAAGGTTTATTCCAATTGGTTGGTATACAAACTTACCCAGTATTACAGGAAAACCTTATGATACTCAGGTAGTTGAGGTCAGTGACGTGTATTTCTCCATTGTTCAAGGGTCCAGGATAGGGACATTTCTTGGCTGTTTTAATATATATATATAAATATATATACATGTGTTTATTAATATTTAATTGGGGAAGAGAGAAATAGATACACTGTAAACAAGAAGCAATCACCAAGTTAAGTCAATTCATTCCAGTAGATGGGTAGATAGATTATGAACAATAGATCATTTTCTATTTGATGAACTAAGACAATAAACCCATAAGCATAATAGCACGGTTCACCACTTACACTCAAGAACAATGGTGTTCCAGTCACAACAGGCCAGAAAGGATGAGATCTGTGGAGATTTAAGTAATCAAGTCTTCTCCCCCCTCCCCCCCCCCCACTCAGGCTAGATACTTCTGGAGAAAGTTGGTGCTGGGAAGCAGATGCCATAAGTTAAAGGTTCCCCTCACATATATATGCTAGTCGTTCCTGACTCTAGGGGGTGGTGCTCATCTCCGTTTCAAAGCTGAAGCACCAGCGCTGTCCTAAGATATCTCCGTAGTCATGTGGCCAGCATGACTAAATGCCGAAGGGGCATGGAACGCTGTTACCTTCCCACAAAAGGTGGTTCCTATTTTTCTACTTGCATTTTTTACATGCTTTCGAACTGCTAGGTTGGCAGAAGCTGGGACAAGTAACAGGAGCTCACTCTGTTACACGGTGCTAGGGATTCAAACCGCTGAACTGCCGACCTTTCTGATCGACAAGCTCAGCGTCTTAGCCACTGAGCCACCGCATCCCTAGCAGATGCCATAGGAATAATTTAAATGTTTAGTACAAACGTTTCTTCGAACATGTTTGCCCCTAAGAAAAAGGTCTAACATCATGTGAGCTTCAAGAAGCCACACCATTCAGAATAGTTTGCCTTCATTTTTATTTTTATTTTTTGCCTAATGTATTCTCTATCTTTGCTCTTTTAAACATGATTGGAGAATCTTTTTAATAACTAGGTGACAAAAAAACCCCAATAATTACAGCTTTTCTCACCAGAGCAAGAAAAGCTTTTATTGATGTTTCCATCTGTTGTGCATTATCCAAAGCAATTTTGGGGGAAATATTTTTTCCAAAGAAGGGTAATAGATAGTCAGTGATCTGGACCAGTGTGGAGGCCATTGCAAATAAAGCCTATGAGTAGGCTTCGACTTAAAAGCCAAAGCAATTGTGAATTAATTTAACGTACCCATGGTGATGATTGTCCTATTAATGTGACTGTTTGATCTGAGGATGTGCACAGATCCTCAGAAGACTTCCTACCATTTTCAGCGCCTTCTCTTCTTGCTTGACATAAGTTCCAGGGCTAACTTGGGTAAATAAAGGAGGGGCAAACTCTAATCCTCCTACTAGGAAGAGTGAATCAATCATTTTAGGCTGTGCATTTCACGCCTTGTTAAAATGCAATAAAATCATTTAATTAGCCTTTTTTTTCCTCATGATAATTTTTATCTTCCTAAAGGAGAGAGATATTTGTAAGATTTTCCTCCATGAATGCCAGAATAAAATGGTTTCCTCTAGATAATGACCTTGGTCTAACAACATACTCAACCAAATCAGGGAATAACTCAATCAGATCTCCATCATGGTGGCTTTGACAGCATTCAATCCAGGGGTTCAATTCAGCAGGTTCTGACAGGTTCTGGAGAACCGGTACCGGAAATTTTGAGTAGTTTGGAGAACTGGCAAATACCATCTCTGGCTGGCCCCAGAGTGGGAAGGGAATGGAGATTTTGCAGTATCCTTCTCCTGCCACGCCCACCAAGCCACGCCCACAGAACCGGCAGTAAAAAAAAAAAAAGAATTTCACCACTGGTTCAATCCCATTAAATAAGTTTTTTTTTAAAAAATAGCCATTTTGAAAATATGGAATGTACATCACTGGCAGCTAAAATCACAAGACTACTTCTGATTTACTTTGGCCATATTATGCATGTGGGTTCATTTCCAGATTTTGGAAATAGTTTACCACTGTTTTCTTCCTAGGGTTCAGAGAAAGTGACTGACCCAAAGTCACCCATCTGGCTTTGTGTCTAAGATAGGACTAAAGCTCCCATTTCTGGTCTGGTGCTTTTAACCACTACACCAGACTAGCTCTTTTAGGATTGATCCGTGGCAAAAGTCCCCTTAAAACTTTGGTACATAGAAAGGTTTTTACATCAAGAATATGACCTCATTCTCACGATTTTGATGGGGGAAAAAACTCTTGATTTTGCTGGGGAGAAGAGGCAGAAGGGCAGCCATGGAAATGTGGAGATTCAAATATTCAAATACGTTTCAAAAGTTAGAGACATTTCATAGAAAAAAGAACAAATAGAAAAAACTGGTTTTTATTCAAAAAAGCAAAAATATTGATTTGTGTGGGAAAAAGCAAAAAAAAAAAAAGAACTACAGAAAGGACATACTTACGTGTACATCTGAATGTAACGGTAGGCCATTTACCAGATGAATGACATATGTATCTCCTTGAGCTAGACTGGGGAATATAACCTGGGATACATTGATAGATAATGTCTTCTCCAGGACTGTATGCTTCTTTATTTACGTTGATGGTAGCCAGAGGTACTTCAGGAGGCCGAGGGCAAACTATAAGACATCAAGCATGAACACGTCATGTATGAAAAGATATATTGGTACATGAACAGTAGTTTTATATGGTCCTGGAGCCATAATATTTTTATTTATTTATTTGGTTGTTTGTTTATTTAAATTTATTTGCCACCCATCTCATTTCAATGTTAATATTAATGAGTATATTGTCTGTTTTCACAGATGAGACCAAAGGATACATGAATGCAACATAAATTCTTTATTTTTTAAAAAATATTAAACTTTAGTATAGGGTAAAATACAAATAGAGACAAAAGAAAAAGAAAGAAAAAGCACCAAGATAAAGAAGAGGAAGAAAAAGCAGTGATTTCTGATTTTTTTTTTAAGCTGCAGTAGAACACAGGAAAACTTACAGCTACAATCTTACATTTCTTGTTAATTCAAGCCATTTTTATAACAACAAAGTCAATCTAAACATCAAAGCCCAGCAAGATAAATTATTTAGACAACAACAGTATGTCAGAGTTTCAGAGAGATGCAGTCAGGGGAGGCAGAGACTCACCACTGTCATCATGAAAAGAAAAAAATGTAAAAGGAAAAAGGCAAGAAATGTAAGTCAGGCTGAG